GTGCTGGTTGCCCTGTTGGAATAGAGTCATCTCTCATGTGAACTTGATGTTTTCTGTTATAGGGAAATTCACTGCTTGGCACCCTCAAGAAAATCAAGTCCAAATCATCAAGGCCAGAGATATCAATAAAGGAGACTCTCCATGGGGAGAGGCAGCTACAATAGCCCCAGTTTTTAGGCCCTGAGACAGACTCACCCTCCCTGGGATACTCCTGAGGGATGACTGCAAGACTCAGGGTGCTACTCACTTGAGAGTCTGGCCACATTGGCCTCTGAAAGTACGAATGAGACTGAAGGCTGGGGGCAGGGACCACTGGAAAGTGACCTCTGACCAGAGAATGTGACCTTAGGGTCACTTCCCTCATTGGAAGGTGGGGGTGGGGAGGGTGCTTTGCTCTCTGCTGCATGGGAAGCACGGTGATCCAGAAGGGGACCTTCTTGCCCATGGAACCTGTGGCATGACACCAAATGAGGCAGGGTTAGGGTTAGGGTTAAAGTTTTAAGGAAGCTCAGTGAGCTACAAGAAAACATAGAAAGACAATTGAACAAAATCAGGAAAACAATACATAAAAAAATGAAAAATCTAACACATAAAAGAACCAAACCAAAATTCTGGAGCTGAAGAATACAATGAGTGAAGTGAAAAGTGCAGTAGAAATCATCAACATCAGAATGGATCAAGAAGAAGAAAGAATGTGGAGTTAGAAGTCAGGACCTTTGAAATTATCCAGTCAGGGAGAACAAAGAAAAAAGAATGAAGAAAGGCTCTGTGATCCATGGGATAATATTAAAAGAAACAATTTGCAAATCATTAGAATCCCAGAATGAGAAGATGTGGTGGGGGGGCAGAAAAGTTATTTAAAGAAATAATGGCTGATAACCTCCCAAATGTGGGGAGAGATTTGGCTATCCAAGTTCATGAAGCTCAAAGGTCACCAAACAATTTAAAGAGATCTTCTCTAGGACATATTATAATAAAACTGTCAAAAGTCAAAGACAAAGAGAAAATTTTATAAGGTGCAAGAAAAAAAAGAAGCTTATAACTTATAAAGGAACAGTCATGAGGCTATCAGAGGATTTCTCATTAGAAACCTAACAGGCCAAGAGAGAGGGGGATGATATTTTCAAAGTGCTAAAAGGAAGAAACTGCCAAGTGAGAATACCATATCTGGCAAAGTTGTCCTTCAGAAATGAAAGAGAGGTAAAAACTCTCCCAGACAAAGCTGAGGGAGTTTATCACCACTAGACCTGCCTTGCAAGAAATGCTGAAAAGAGTCCTTCAAACTAAAATGAAAGGATGCTAATTAGCAACAGGAAAACATGAAAATATACAACATACTGACAAAGGTAAGTATATAGTCAAATTCAGAATACTCAAATACTGTAATGTGGTGATATATTAACCATTTTACTATAAAAGTTAAAGGACAAAAGTGTTAAAATAACTATAGCTATAATAATTTAATGAATACACAATATAGAAGGAGGTAAATTATGACATCAAAAACAAAAGGAGGGAGAAAAAGAATAGAATTTTTGTGATTTAAGTTGGTATCAGCATAAAAGAGACTATTATACCTATAAGATGTTTTATGTAAGGGTAATGGGAACCACAAAGCAAAACCAATAGTAGATACACAAAAGATAAGCAGAAGGGAATCAAAGCATAATGCTACAGAAATTTAATTCACAAAGGAAGGCAGCAAGAGAGGAATAAGAGAACAAAGAAGCTATAAAACACCCAGAAAACAATAAGATGGCATTAGTATGTCCTCACATATCAATACTTACTCCAAATGTAAATGGATTTAATTCTTCAATCAAAAAGCATAGAGTGGCTGGATAGATTTAAGAAAAAAAAAAGACCCAAATACATGCTGCCTAGAGGAGACTAAGGACACACTTAGGCTCAAAGTCAAGGAATGGAACAAGATACTCCATGCAAGCAGAAAGGAAAAGAGAGCAGAAGTAGCTATACTTACATCAGACAAAGTACACTTTAAACCAAAAACTATAACAAACAATGAAGAAAGTCATTCTATAATGATAAAGAGGTAAATATTTTCATCAAGAAAATGTAACAATTGTAGGGCCCAGGGGAGGGGGAAAAAAGAAACTATAACAATTGTAAATATATATGCATCCATTACTGAAGCACCTAAATATGTTAAGCAAACACTAACAGAGCTGAAGGCAGAAATAGATAACAATACAATAATAATAGGGGACTTCAATACCCCACTGTCAACGATGGCTAGATTATCCAGAAAGAAAATCAATGAGGAAACTTTGGACTTGAACTAAACTTTAGACCACAGGAACCTAAAGTGAGTGCTTCGCGTGCACTGAGGTTCTAGGTTCAATCCCTAGTACCTCCATTTAAAACATTAAAAATTGAATAAAATAAAAAGGAAAAATCTCAAATAAACCATCTCACTTTATACCTCAAGGATCTAGAGAAAGAAAAAATTTAAGCCCAAACTTAGCAGAAGTTAGGAAATAACAAACATCAGAACAAAAGTAAATGAAATAGAGACCAGAAAAACAATAGAAAAGATCAACAAAAAGAAGAGCTGATTTTCAAAAAGATAAGCAAAATTGATAAACCTTTAACTAGACTAAGAACAAGAAGAGAAGAGAAAAATAAATGGAATCAGTACTGAAAGAGGAGGCATTACAGTTGATACCACAGAAATACAGAGGATCAAAGAGACTACTGTGAACAATTACATGCTGAAAAACTGGACAATTTAGAAGAGATGGATAAATTCCCAGAAATATACAACCTACCGAGATTGAATCATGAAAATATAGAAAATCTGAACAGACTAATAGCAAGTAAGGAGACTGAATCAGTCATCAGAAACCTCCTAACAAAGAAAAGCCCAGGACTAGATGATTTCCTGGTGATTTCGACGAAACATTCAGGGAAGAACTTATACCAATCCTCCTCAAACTCTTCCCAAAAATGGAAGCGGAGGGAACATTCCCAAACTCATTTTGTGAGGCCAGCATTACCCTGATACCAAGGCCAGATAAGGACATTACGAATCAAAACCATGATGAGCTTTACCT